GGGACTCAGGAAGACCACCGTCATACTCTCCACACTCCTCTCCTGTCTTTGTGCCGTATCAGTCAACATAGTCATTATGTCAGTTGCTGTTGCAGAAGTGATGTGGTGACCTCAGCTGACTCCTCCCACCAGCCATTGCCCAGCAGGGTGAAACAGAAGCATGGACGAGCCCCGTTTTCTCTCCAGATTTAAAGTAGAGATCTTCCTATAAGTGTTCAAATCAAGAAAGAGGCGGGAGATCTGCTGAAGGAGAACAGGAGTACGGAAGAGTCCAATGTCCTTCAGCACAGACGTGGCTTCCCTTACCTGGCAAACCCCCAGATAACATGAACAATCACCGTGACGATGACGGACTGATCACATGACCTGAACGCACTCCGAACATCGAAGAATTCTGGTCATTTGTAGAAAAGAAAAAAATGGACTCCGGCTGGAATATTGGAAAGTTCAGAACTTTCTGCTTTATTTTACATGATTGGAATCAAAGACCAACACACAATACCCAACACCCAAATCTACATCAAATCTTCTATAACTGAAGTCAAAATACAATACTTTATTCATAATTGTACATTGGTTGGACGCTGGAAGTCACTGATGATGATGATGACGACCTTCATATCACTGAGGAAGATACTGACTGTGAGAATATGGAGTCCATCACTGTGACCATGAAGAGGATAGCAAAGGTGGTGGCAATGGGAACATCCTATGTGACCTTTGTGGTGGCTCCATGTATCCTTGGCACATCAGTTGACATCCAGGTGGAACTGGATCTTCTGGACTCTCCAGCCAATGAATGCCACCCCAATATATCACTCTATGAGCCAAGCTCATTCCCATCACCAATGGATGACTCTATATGAACTGAGCTCATTCCCATCACCAATGGATGACTCTCTATGAACTGAGCTCATTCCCATCACCAATGGAGGACTCTCTATGAACTGAGCTCATTCCCATCACCAATGGAGGACTCTCTATGAACCAAGCTCATTCCCATCACCAATGGAGGACTCTCTATGAACTGAGCTCATTCCCATCACCAATGCAGGACTCTCTATGAACCGAGCTCATTCCCATCACCAATGGATGTCTCTCTATGAACTGAGCTCATTCCCATCACCAATGGATGACTCCCTATGAACTGAGCTCATTCCCAATGGAGGACTCTCTATGAACTGAGCTAATTCCCATCACCAATGGAGGCCTCTCTATGACCCGAGCTCATTCCCATCACCAATGGAGGCCTCTCTATGACCCGAGCTCATTCCCATCACCAATGGAGGCCTCTCTATGACCCGAGCTCATTCCCATCACCAATGGAGGCCTCTCTATGACCCGAGCTCATTCCCATCACCAATGGAGGCCTCTCTATGACCCGAGCTCATTCCCATCACCAATGGAGGCCTCTCTATGACCCGAGCTCATTCCCATCACCAATGGAGGCCTCTCTATGACCCGAGCTCATTCCCATCACCAATGGAGGCCTCTCTATGACCCGAGCTCATTCCCATCACCAATGGAGGCCTCTCTATGACCCGAGCTCATTCCCATCACCAATGGAGGCCTCTCTATGACCCGAGCTCATTCCCATCACCAATGGAGGCCTCTCTATGACCCGAGCTCATTCCCATCACCAATGGAGGCCTCTCTATGACCCGAGCTCATTCCCATCACCAATGGAGGCCTCTCTATGACCCGAGCTCATTCCCATCACCAATGGAGGCCTCTCTATGACCCGAGCTCATTCCCATCACCAATGGAGGCCTCTCTATGACCCGAGCTCATTCCCATCACCAATGGAGGCCTCTCTATGACCCGAGCTCATTCCCATCACCAATGGAGGCCTCTCTATGACCCGAGCTCATTCCCATCACCAATGGAGGCCTCTCTATGACCCGAGCTCATTCCCATCACCAATGGAGGCCTCTCTATGACCCGAGCTCATTCCCATCACCAATGGAGGCCTCTCTATGACCCGAGCTCATTCCCATCACCAATGGAGGCCTCTCTATGACCCGAGCTCATTCCCATCACCAATGGAGGCCTCTCTATGACCCGAGCTCATTCCCATCACCAATGGAGGCCTCTCTATGACCCGAGCTCATTCCCATCACCAATGGAGGCCTCTCTATGACCCGAGCTCATTCCCATCACCAATGGAGGCCTCTCTATGACCCGAGCTCATTCCCATCACCAATGGAGGCCTCTCTATGACCCGAGCTCATTCCCATCACCAATGGAGGCCTCTCTATGACCCGAGCTCATTCCCATCACCAATGGAGGCCTCTCTATGACCCGAGCTCATTCCCATCACCAATGGAGGCCTCTCTATGACCCGAGCTCATTCCCATCACCAATGGAGGCCTCTCTATGACCCGAGCTCATTCCCATCACCAATGGAGGCCTCTCTATGACCCGAGCTCATTCCCATCACCAATGGAGGCCTCTCTATGACCCGAGCTCATTCCCATCACCAATGGAGGCCTCTCTATGACCCGAGCTCATTCCCATCACCAATGGAGGCCTCTCTATGACCCGAGCTCATTCCCATCACCAATGGAGGCCTCTCTATGACCCGAGCTCATTCCCATCACCAATGGAGGCCTCTCTATGACCCGAGCTCATTCCCATCACCAATGGAGGCCTCTCTATGACCCGAGCTCATTCCCATCACCAATGGAGGCCTCTCTATGACCCGAGCTCATTCCCATCACCAATGGAGGCCTCTCTATGACCCGAGCTCATTCCCATCACCAATGGAGGCCTCTCTATGACCCGAGCTCATTCCCATCACCAATGGAGGCCTCTCTATGACCCGAGCTCATTCCCATCACCAATGGAGGCCTCTCTATGACCCGAGCTCATTCCCATCACCAATGGAGGCCTCTCTATGACCCGAGCTCATTCCCATCACCAATGGAGGCCTCTCTATGACCCGAGCTCATTCCCATCACCAATGGAGGCCTCTCTATGACCCGAGCTCATTCCCATCACCAATGGAGGCCTCTCTATGACCCGAGCTCATTCCCATCACCAATGGAGGCCTCTCTATGACCCGAGCTCATTCCCATCACCAATGGAGGCCTCTCTATGACCCGAGCTCATTCCCATCACCAATGGAGGCCTCTCTATGACCCGAGCTCATTCCCATCACCAATGGAGGCCTCTCTATGACCCGAGCTCATTCCCATCACCAATGGAGGCCTCTCTATGACCCGAGCTCATTCCCATCACCAATGGAGGCCTCTCTATGACCCGAGCTCATTCCCATCACCAATGGAGGCCTCTCTATGACCCGAGCTCATTCCCATCACCAATGGAGGCCTCTCTATGACCCGAGCTCATTCCCATCACCAATGGAGGCCTCTCTATGACCCGAGCTCATTCCCATCACCAATGGAGGCCTCTCTATGACCCGAGCTCATTCCCATCACCAATGGAGGCCTCTCTATGACCCGAGCTCATTCCCATCACCAATGGAGGCCTCTCTATGACCCGAGCTCATTCCCATCACCAATGGAGGCCTCTCTATGACCCGAGCTCATTCCCATCACCAATGGAGGCCTCTCTATGACCCGAGCTCATTCCCATCACCAATGGAGGCCTCTCTATGACCCGAGCTCATTCCCATCACCAATGGAGGCCTCTCTATGACCCGAGCTCATTCCCATCACCAATGGAGGACTCTCTATGAACCAAGCTCATTCCCATCACCAATGGATGACCTCCCCTCCTTTTGAGAACCCGGATTTCGTAAAGGGGGCTCATTGGCTTCCAATCCTTCCCAGATATTCCTCTATCTCTTGAGTTCTCGGGTCTACAGACCCACTGAGCCCATGACGATGAGCTCCTACTCTCCATGCTGGATTGTTATTTCACATTGTGGGGTGTAAGAGAGACGGGAACTGGAGGAGAAGATCTCACCATTAGAGCCTTCAAAACAGACTCGTTTGAGAACTGAAATGTCACTTTTACCAGGATGGATCCTTTATAAATACATAATTTTACACATTTCTTCTACAAATCGGTTACACTCTCCCCCCCCCCCCCCCCCCCCCCCCCCCCCCCCCCCGCCC